GTCAATGAAAGAGAAAGCGAGTGAGGATGGGGGAGGGGTGCTAGATGGAGAAGCACAGGAGGGAGGGATGGAGCGAAAGAGACTGCACACAAGCATTTGTATAGTGTGCATGTATCCAGGAGGAAAGAGAAAATTATGTTATGTATGCAAGACTTCCTTGCTCACATCTCAGAGCTGCTACAGTAACACACACACACACACACACACACACACACACACACACACGCGAAAAAAAATATTCATAAAATTAGTCATTTAGTTTGATTTAATTTAATTGGTCTCAAGACATTCCAGTGGCTAAATGTACAGCTGTTCAGAGTTGTTTGTTTGATGTTGAATAATTGAGAGCTTGTGCTATAAAAACATAGCTGAAATACATGGTAAATTACTTATTTATATGTAGTCCACTTTCAAATTACATCCTGACATCCAGTTCAATAAGCTATCCAAAAACACTGCCTTGCACTGAGTCACTTAGCAACATCTTACAATGAATGACTGAAAATGAAGTGAAGAAATTACCTGGTACATTTAAGGTGAATGTTGTATGTCTTTATCTAAGCGAGGGTCAGCAAATGCACACAACCCTAAAGTAAGAGAAGGCATTGTTATATTTGTACAGAAATCAAAACAAAAAGCACGCACATCACTGGATGTGGTGCTCAACAAAAAAACATATTGATAATGAAAATAGAAAAAAGTCGGCACACCTAGGCTCCAAAAATACACAGGCTCTAATGAAGGTCTGACGAAGAGCTTGTATGCTCGAAACATAACATGTAATAGTCTGTTATTAAATTTTTGTATTTTTAGAGCCTAGGTGTGCCGACTTTTTTCGATTTTCATTAGAAATGTACAATAAAATAAAAACTAAACTAAACTGAAATAAAATAAAATAAAATAAAACTAAAATCAGAATGAAGTATGAAAAAATAAATAAAGAAAAAATAAAAATAAAATGAAATGAACTAAACTAAATATAGTGTCAAATTCAAGTGTCAAAGCTGTTCAGTTCTTTGACCATTCAATTCAGCTTCTGCACAGAAATATGATTACTATACACTCTAAAAACAAATCTTTTGGCTCAACAACAACAAAAATTATGCAACAGTTCGCATTAATCTTTTTAAGTTATGACAGCTTTTAGTGAAATTATGTTCAACCAACAAACTACATTGGGTTTTGATGATTTACAGCATAAACACAAATTTGTTTCCACAAGTTGATTACTAACTAACAAGTTCCAACCCCTGACATCAACTAACAATGAGCATTATTCTTCAACGAAATGGTAAAAAACCATGGTTTGTCAGCATAACAAAAATTATTTTAATTTTTTAAATGTCAATCATGACAGTGTTAAACACTAACAGATATTTCCTTTAACTATAAAAAACACAAAAAATAACTTAAATATATATTCACCTTATCCAGTCCTATGCAAAGCATGATGAGAACTAGAAATCCACTTCCTAATTTAAGACAATTTTAAGTTACTACAACTTATTAAAAAAAAATCAATTAAAAAATCTCTGTTTAAATTACACACAATGTTAAATTGATGTAATGGTTAATTATTTTATTTTATCAACTTGTAAACTCATCAAAATAATGTTTAAACTTGCAACAAAAGGTTTAAATAAAGCAATAAATCAGAATTTTTAACTCGCAACCATGCATTTCTTTTCAGTTGTGGTAATAGGTCTGAGATATTAACAAATGAATACATATAAAGAAATTTCAGTGTTGCTAATGCTTGTGTTATCAAAATTCGACTGCATTTGTAAAAAGAGAATATAAAGATATAAAAAGAATATAAACTGCTTTTCTCACAACAGAAATAATATAGAATTAGAAGTGGTTGTAAACATTTTTAAAATGCTTTCATTCATTGTCTTTGCAACTATTAAATTTAAAATAAGCAGTCATGCTTTGGGATACTTCTGCATCTATAGATATAAATGAGTGAAATTAGGCGCACATAATTAAGATCATAGAAGTCATTATACTGACTTCTTGATTTAAAATACATCAGGTATTTGATGTAATTAATAACCATATCCCTAAGTTCAGATGATACATAACCAGGCACTTTCACACATTGGGCAGCTGCACAACACATACAACCTGATAGAAACCGTTCTCTGTGTTGGTATGACCGATCACACAAAGATAGAGTTTATTTACTTCTAGCTTGCCGAAGTTGACATCTTTGGCCAGTTTAACAGTCCCTATCCCTTCAAACATCTTCTCTGTCATGGGCTCCCGAGATTTGGCCAGGGTGAGATGGTATGTCGGGCATCGGGAATGGCGGTGTAGCCAGCCCTTCTCCTTGAAGGCTTCTTGGAGAGGGGAATTCAGGCACTGGACATCGAACAGGGGTTGTGGGGTCACATGGAGAACAGTCCCATTAAAGTGCCTTAGTTTTGGAGTGAAAGACACAGAAATAGGGGGTTTGTGGGAGTTTCTGATTGTGGTACGCAGGAGCTCAGCAGCAGCACGGACTTCCTCTGGGCCCTTCAGGACAAGTAAGGAAAGAGTGACGTGTAAAGTTGCAGGGTCCACCCATAGCGGCTCTGACTGAGGGAGGCGGGAGAGAACCTTTTTCTGAATGCGCTGGAAGGCCAGGAGAGCAGCGGGAGAGTCCACACGGAAGCAGATGAAGTGTGTGGGTCTGTTTGGTGGTGGACGTCTAAAAAGTGGTTTTGGCAGAATGAATGATACCAGCTCTGCTTCTGAACCACTCACTCCATCCCAGCTGTCCTTCCATTCTTCCACTATTTCAGTCTGTTCTTTTTTTGGAGTGATGGATAACTCCTTTGCCAACTGATTCAAACTGAGTTCTTCAGTAGCTGCCATCTTTTTGTCTTCTGGTGCAGATTGTTTTTGCAAAAGTGAGACGTCATCACTGGTTCCTTTCTCAGCATTTTCGGTAAATGAGCGATCTATGGCATCTCCCAGCTCTTGTTTATTGTTTGTTGTTGTAACTGAAGTTACAACATCATCCTGTTCTTCAGAAAACTCTGTCACTTGCTCTAGGTCATTTGAAACATCTCCTGTGTTGATGGACTCTTCATGTTGTCCAGTGTCAGTTGTTAAATTGTCTGAGAATTGAATAATTCCAGTATATTAAGAGAAATAATGTAATACTGTATTAACAGTACATTATAATAATTATATAATATAATAAAATAATATTGAAATAATATTGAAAGAATATTGAAATACATTTAAAGTTCAATGGCATGCCATTTTTTGCCCTGCAGTTTTCAAACAATACACTAAAAATGCAATATATACAACTCGAATATGCCTTTTCTGATAAGTGTTCTGATGTTTTTAATTTCTGTATTAAAATTGATTTAGATATATTTTGAAGGCATAAGTCCTGATATCTTGATGAATAAAATAAAACCTTATTAATTAGTTTGACATACTCTTTTATTATTTCACTATTTTGTTATATTTTTATTATTATTATTATTACCGTTACTATTTTTTATTTGTTGTTTGTTTCACTGGTTATTAGTATTTGAAAAAAATATTGTCTGCCAAATCAAAGTCATGTGGTGCAATCAAAAAAAGCCACATGGTCCAACCAACACACTGAAGAAAAAAAAAACTGTAAATGATACCCTAGGAAATGACCCCCCCCACCCCCTCCCCAACTCCAAAAAACCTTAGTGATATTTATGAATTATTTATTCATGATTATTTATTTCTGATAATTATTCATGATAATGACTACCGAACAAAATACTGGTAAGCATTTTCTCAGAACCTGTTTTACTGGGCCAAAATAATACTGTCGCTCACCTTGTTGCGGTTCCTCACTGCCAAAAGGAGGCAAAATAGTCTGGCCCGTGGAGCCGAACACCCTGTCAGTGCGACTGTCTCTATCCCACACCCGCTGGCCTTTGTAGCTGAAGTATTGTATCCTATGATGAGGGAGAGCCAGCTCCTCAGAAAAATCACAGTCACATACCTAATGAGGGACAGATAAGCATTAAGCCTGGTTATGAATATACACGACATATGGTAATGAAACATATTAGTGCTGATATAACACACCTGAGAGTCCCATGAGAAGTCAGAGAATGGGCGTTCCAGCACCCCAAGGAAACGGTCCAGGTGACCAACTATAAAATCAGCTGGGTCCACTGAGGAGTCCCATATAATTCTGGAGATGACTTCATCGGCTGTACGCATGCGTGGCTTCTTCTTACACCCTGAGACAGGAAGGCATCCATTTGTAATTCTGAAGAGTGAATCTGGAAGGTAAAGTGCCTCTGCACTCATCATTAAATCTATAAACACACCTTCCTTCTCAGTCTCTAGATGCTGCTTTTCTGCATGAGTCTTTTTTCCATTTTTTCGGATCTTGCTCTGCTTTTCTGTATCATCTTCCTCTGA